AAGAATAGAAATAGGCACACAGGGTTTCTTATGTCTATTGTGTCCATTAGAACAATACTGCTGAGAGCAACTGAGACCAAAGGCCTGGCCTTCAAAATATACGACTTGAAAGGAAAGCTGCATTTTTTTGGTAAGGTCCAAATGTATTTAATTCAGCTTTGCTGCTACTCCCAAAGTTTGGTTGTAAACAAGTACGATTTTTACCCTGGAAGCCACACATCTGGATTGCAGTGCCTGTAACTGTTTTCATCATCACAAGTAGTTATTGGCTTCATAATGTTCTGCGTGTGCAGAAAACAGCTTGTAAGAGGTAACCTGAGCAACCTTGATTTTATAATTGAAGAGCTTAAATGTCTTAAATCACCAGTCTGCAAGATAGCTACAGCCATTAACTTTCTATATATGATCCCGAAGTCTTAAAATTCTGCATTTCTAACCCTGCAGAGTTTTTCTGATTCTGACTGCTCCCCATCAAATTTCTATGCTGACTCTTTGTCCAGCTAAGTCAACTGTCCAAAGCAATGATGTGCCAGCTACTTTTGTGGGAGATGAGTGTGACCTTGAGTAGAGCTCACTTATAGCTATAAACCTTTTTGTAGCTATACAGCAATAAAACTTTGAAAATAATTTCTGTACATCATAAATATAGTGATGTAAGATGTCAGGATTATCAATACTCAATGCTAAGTGACAAAATAATGTTGCATCTGAATAATTTCTCGTTAGGTAACAGGTTTTCTCACTGCATAGTTGGTGTATCCTGGAGTCTTTGTATTCTGCACTGTGGAGGCTGAATGTATTTGAATTAATTAATGTTTAAAATGTTCTATGTACCTGACTCCAGCCTCAGTTCCCCAAACCATGACAATGCACGTGATCACAGAAAAGCCACTGGAACAAATAGCCACTGAATCCCAGTATAGACAAGGAACCACAGAAAGAGACAGGGAACTCGGAGACTTCCAATTTGTGCACAGTTCCTACGAAGCAGGGGCCTGGGGGTACATGGCTGCTGTCAGGATGAGAAGGGGATGTGAACTGTTCACTCTAAGGGACTGAGAACACCTGGAGAAGGCTACATTTGTCTGGAGATATCGACAGACTTCACTGATTCTCTGCACTCCCTTCCACTTCTTGGAAAGATCATCCAAAAAGCCTTTCCAAACTTCCAAGCACAGGGGTAAGGTCCTCAGTGTGGAAGAGTAAAACAGAGTGCTTTCGCTGCAAATTTGCTGTTATCTTCTGCTCCTAAATTGTTCCTGCTCCTGGTTTTAAACCTGTGGCTTGCCAGCTGACTTCCGTGTAACTTGTGGCTGATTACCTCATGTTCCCAGTTTCCTTTACACTTGTTTGGGCAACTCTTTGCTCTCACAAGCAGAAGTATGGACAGAGCCATAAAACAGTCACTTGTTAACCACACGGCTTCAAGCAAACAAATAGGACTGCACACCCCAATCAGGGTAACACCGTGATGTGGTGTTGTTTGAAGCTCTGCAGACTTACTGACAGCACAGGAAAGGCAGGCTGTAAAGGGCAGACACACAGACGTAACGTATGTTCATCTGGCATTCTCGTCCCCCTCTTCTAACTGGGTGTCTCTGTTGAGCTCTTTCATAAGTCATTAATAAATGCCACTTCTGAATAAATACTTTCTCTGTATCTTCTCCAATACTAAGGATTAATTTTGCATGGATCTATGCATTTACTCTGTTCTTCAGCAGTCACAGAAATTGATCTCTTGGCTAGATTTTATGAATGATGTTCCACATTTATTACACATTATGACCTTTCTGGATGATATAAAGTCAAGCCTAGGGATCTGTCTTTTGTTCTGTCTAACAGTACTTTTCTTCTGTGATGGACAATGAGTTGCAGTATATAGATACCTGCAATTTACATCCTTTTTTGAGTTTAAGATCATGATTAATGTTTTACATGAAGCAAGGTGGTGAGTAGGAGAGTTCATTGACTTTTCAACCCTGGAATCATCCAAACACTGGTTTACAGTCCAAATAAAATATTTGGTGGGTTTCACACCAGTCTTTACCAGTGTGTATCATGATGTTGCTGTTGGGAAAAACTGAATTTATTAAGGCAGTATATTTTAAAAATTGGCTCCAGCACCACACAGCTGGCAACAAGAAAAAAATAATCTAAGGCAGCATGTAAAAAACTTGTTCTCTAGTAGGACTGTGAATTTTCCAATAACTGCCTCCAGTAGACCACCCTATGACACTGATTGCAAACATATAAAGCCTGATTGTTTCAAAAGTCATATAAATAAAATGTACATGTTGAAATGCCAGCCTCCCACTATTCGCCTCCAACTTTTTTTTTCATCTCTTACCGCTGATTTTGTTTTTCCTGGTGTCCTTCCTCTCACTGATGTTTTCTTTCAGTACCCCCCCCCGTTTTCCTCTCAGAACTGAGTAGAGCTTTTAGCTTTAATGGCAGAATAGGAGCCAGTAGACAATGAAAAGAAGCTGGGGCAGCAAATTCTGTGAGCACAGCAAGCACCTAAGAAAAGAACAGTGCAGGTTATTTGTGTGTGCACGCAACTTCACATGCCACACACCTGGTACCAACCTGAGCGAACCAGCGTATCATTGGAATAGTATTTCTCTGAAGTATGAACGTAGCTCAGTGTGTTTTGTTGTGTTATTTGTAGCCATTGGTTTTACAACTTGGAACTGTTCTAAGACCTTTTAATCTTTCACCTCACATGCCTTTGTTTTAAATAAAAAGGGCTTAATAATGAGAGAGAAAAATACCTGAGGAAGTACAAAACACATCTGGATGAAGAGGCTTTCAAACTCTAGCAATGTGTTTGTTGACTTTGAGCATGATGATCATAGAATCATAGAATTGTTTGGGTTGGAAGCGACCTTTAGAGGTCATCTAGCCCAACCCCCTGCAGTGAGCAGGGATGTCTTCAACTAGACCAGGTTGCTCAGAGCGCCATCCAACCTGGCCTTGAATATTTCCAGGGATGGGGCCTCCACTACTTCTCTGAGCAACCTGTTCCGGTGTTTCACCACCCTTATGGTAAAAAATTGCTTCCTTATATCTATTCTAAATCTACCCTCCCTTAGTTTAAAGCCCTTGTTCCTTGTCCTATCGCAACAAGCCCTGCTGAAAATATTTTCCCCATCTTTCCTGTAGGCCCCTTCAGGTACTGAAAGGCTGCTGTCAGGTCTCCCTGCAGCCTTCTCTTCTCCAGGCTGAACAGCCCCAACTCTCTCAGCCTTATGATGTAGAAGTGCCTCAAGCAGTATATGAAAATAACTGAAAAATCTTCTCCTACCTGAAAGCAACAATAAAAGTAACTTCTTTTGAGCTGCTACAGCCAATCATTGTTACACCAGCACAATGAATCCCATTGAAGAGGACTGACAAAAGAAAGGGAGTGCCAGTTTTTTGCGTTGAGACCTGTGGGCATTTTGAGGAGGCCAGAACAAGACCAGCGCTACTGCAACAGCAGCCTGTGACAGTGCGCCGCTCTCTGCTCTCCCTCAAGCTTCCCAGAGAAAACCCTGGAGAAAGCCCCCATTGCACACTGAAGGCCAGGAGAAAGACGTGTGCACAAGTGAATGAATTTTTGAGGCATCTCTTCTTGTCATCTTGGAAAACAGAGACAGGCTACTCATCACTCAGAAAAGGCCGAACTATGAAAATAGGAAAAAAAGTAGACTAATTAACCTAGATCACTGAAAAACCAAAGAAGCTCTCACTGCTGTTGTCTCAAACTAAAATAGATCAAGTACTTTTGATTCTATAAAATACTTTCTGTAAGGGATGTTTACTAAAAGACAATGTTGGTGACAGGACAAGGCTGTTTTAACAAATACACTTGTAAAACAGCTGCAGCTCAAATACAGCAGTATGGCATGAATATGCAACGAAACAAAATCTGTACAATTTAGTGCTGTGGGTCAGACATAGTTCTGACAAGCCATTGATTTTGCACTTCACAAGGTGAGCTGCAGTACAAGGTGAAATGGGATGCTTCTCAAGGATTTCTGCAGTTCCTGCTCCCAGTCCCTCTCTCCTTTAAATTATCTTCTGAGAAAAAGAAGTGTGTGTCAGCATGGACAGATGCTTCTGTTTTTCATTTGTCATTTCTTTGGCTATTTGGGTCAGTGACAAGTTTTTGTAGTTGGACCTAATTAGCATTAAATGTACTACACATTTATCACCGTTTTCCTTACTAAAAATTAAGCAAGTCGGTAAGAGTTCCACAAAAACATAGTTAGTTTTCCCTTTGAGAACAAAAAGGATGCATTTTAAAAAGTTTTTTATTGTCTTAGTACTGCATGTTACAAAAGTCTTCCACAGCAAAACACACTAGAGAACAGGGATGAGTGCAAACCAAACAAATCAGAAAGTAAATTATCTATGAAACCACTTATTTCAATGCAACAGGAAGCAGTAATACAAGTTTCGAAACAGCTTTTCCTCCTCTGGAGAATGCAGAACTTTTTTTTTCCTCTATTGGAGTTCTTGACATAGGTCAAAGTATTGCACTTACACCAAGACTTCAGTTCTTTTCCTCCCAGAGAGACATAAACATTGTCCCCAACAATATGTTTGTTTTGTTGGAATAGAAGAAAAACCTAATCCTGAGAAAGACTGCAACCTACTCTGTCTTGCCAAGGCAACAGCTATGAAATGTGCTCTCTTCAGATGCTGGACAGAAAGAGAAGGAGAACTTGGAACATTTAAATGTAGATTCCACACCATGACTGCTTCTCAGATCTCTATTCCAATGAGTTTGTACTGACTTCCAAAAGCATAACTTCTCCATGAACACAGCTAACATGACCAGTTTACTCAGATGCTTCAACACAACTCCACAAATCTTATGTTCTGTCAGGCTTTCTTCTCTTAGCCCCTCTACAAAAAGGGATTCTGAAGTGAACAGATGACCAATACCTTTAGCTTCTGGTCCACACTAACATATTAAACAATACCTTCCTGTACCTCTGATGCCAAATGAAACTGATGTGCAGCCATCTCTTTGGCAGCACAGTTCATTTGATGTCAGCACTTGGGTTTTTTTCTGGTTAAATAATAAATTGTGCATTATTTTCTCTGAAGTGTTTATAGGCTGGCAAATTCTCATTGTTAGGACTTGTTCACAGGCTAGTATAGCTGGCAAAGTAAAAATAATCATTTTTCTTCCCTGTTCAGTATTCCTTTAATGTTACGAGATAATTGACATTTCTTCCCTCTCTCGGCTCTCATTTATTAAGATGATGATACTTTTGAAGTATTTCATAAATTCCATGCGAACATCTTCAGGATCTTCTTCTAAGTTGGAATGTATTAATTTTACCTTGTTCAGCGGGTAAGCTTTGAAGGTAAATAAAAAATAATTAGGTATATTTCTTTTATAACAGAAATATTCGCAATCAAGGCCATGGGAGTCAGTTGGAATTCAGTAGTATCCAATGTTTGATACCCCAGATAACATATAACATGTGAAGCAAAAATGCATCATAGCTTGTTAACGTTACAAACAAGTACAACTTGTTGTTAGATTAAATTCTTCAAACATTATTATTAAAGCTTAAAGTACTAGTTTTGGTCTCACATTCAGTTAGGCAGAATCGAACAATTCAGCACTGAGTTGCAATTTTACTACTGAAGTGACATGACATTCTTTGATTACATCAAAATTATGGAATTATATTTTTACATTAAATATATATTAAAACACTAATACTTGTAATAAATATGTATTTGTTTGAACACTGTAACAGGTTGCCCAGAGGGAGTGTGTGTTCTCATTTGTATTAACAGCCACAAATAATTTTGCAGTATATAAGGTACCTATTACTAATTCTAAGAGGAAGATCGTTAGACATGTATTTCAAAGGGCTTCTATTCTTTTGATCAATAAAATGCACACTTCAATGGCCTCAAATGTGTCAGTTAACAAAAGATAAAATTCAGCGTAAGAAACAAACTACTAGTGATGATGACATATGGCTGCAGACATCAGGAGTTCTAGTTCCTGACTCAGCTACACACTCACTGTGTGACCTTAGAGACATTCTTAGAAAAACTTTTCTTGCCTTTACCTTCCCCTTTTATGAAATAGGAATATTTTCCAGATGACTTTTGAAATTCATTATTTCAGTTTTTGCAAAGCACTCTAATATTCTTTGATTGGCAGATTTAAATGAAAAATGCAAGCCATAAGGTACGAACAATTTTAAAGATAAATAGATCAATAAAAAATGCTGAGTTACAGGCTGAGTTTTCCATCTTCTTACCCAAGGACAGATTTTCCGTGTCCCCCGCACTGCCTGGCTTGTGATGTGCGACAAGGAGACACTGACTATCAAGCAGTGGCTGCTGCTGCACAAAACAGGAGTACCACATTTCAATTTCTTTCAGGTGACTGGGCAGCTCAGGATTGAAGATTATTATTACGCCATGAGAGTCCTTCATCAGAGCTGGCCAGCATGTTTCAAACCTTGAAAAACAAGTGCATGGAAAATGGTAAAATTGATAGCTGGAAAACAGAAACATGCACTCAAACTTCTTTTTCTTTTTCCCTCCTCAAGAACACATTTCAGTACTTTTTTTTTTTTATTATAACATCAGAAATCTCGCCAGTGATCTATCATATTCCAAATATTTTGACTTATCTATTATGATAGTTGGTCCCATGATTTGCTGAAAATGTAGTATTTGATCAAATGCTTATTTAAATTTTTGCCCTAAAAACGGATCTGTCCAGTGTGAAATTGTGTCCTTTGGAAATTAAGGCCTCAGTCGTATGTATACATTGTTTGAAGTCCACTCACGTAACAACTTCAAGGCGACAAAGGCAATTACAGAGTGGCCTCTGTCTCCTGTACCTGTAACTTCATTCTAGGAGCTACGGACTTTACTGTTATACTCAGTCCTTATCCAAAACAAAGCTGGGATCATGGCAGAGAGGACCTAGTATCAGACGCTTTATAGCAGAAAGCTATAAAAAATGTAATGGGGTAAAGAGGCAGGAATGTTCCTCATCTTGAAAAGATAATGGGTTTTAGGCCTGAAGTATAAATACTTTGTGTAAACAGAACTGTTATGAATTAAGTAGCCTGGAGGAAGTAACAACGATGCTGGCTTACTTTTGATCACCACTGCAATCCCACAGCTCGAACCGACACCCAGCTCCCTTAGTGTTACCATTCCAGTTCGGCTTCTCGTACTCCAGGATCCTGTGAAAATGAGCGGATACACGACGTGACACCATTCCACACACCTCCACGGCCAGAGCGCGCGACTGAGGGGCAGGCAGTGGTCAGGGGGCCGGTTTGGTCAGCGCGCCACGAGGTCCCGCTCACCTCACACCTTGCGTCGGGCTGTAGCTGCCAATCCCTTCCACGCTCTCCGAAACAAAGTTCGCCAACACCGATTTTCCAGACTGGTGGAAAGCAGGAGTGAAAGACGCTCATAGGGATTTCACGCACCAACGCCACAGCGAGAAGAGCCCGGCGTTTGCCCGAGCACCCCGCTGTCCCTCGGGGTACGGCCCCTGCGCATGGAGGCCTTCCCCCCCTCCCC